AAGGAAGGAAGGAAGGAAGGAAGGAAGGAAGGAAGGAAGGAAGGAAGGAAATATCTATCTACTCAGCAAGAGGAGAAGAAAAAGAAAACAAAGTTGTGGGCAGCTGTAAGTGAGATGCCATTTAAGTGGCCAAAGTGAAATTGCTTTGTGTTGCAAGAAGCTCTGTTTCACAGTAAAGTTTTATGTGTGTGTTTGATTGATTGATTGATTATTAGAGTTGCGTGCTTCTAAATCCTTGTAGACTTCCAGTGGCTTACAGTAGTGCAAAACATGCAAAGTAATAAATTACCATGGTAACCTGAACGAAACCCATATATAATGTAGAGCATACTAACAAAATCAGTAATAATAATAATAATAATAATAATGCAATATAAATATGCTGTACAGTATAAAAGTTTAAATATACTCAGTTCTCAAAGGCCCCGTGAAAGAATTCAGTTATTTCCTGAGTGTCCCAGTCATGGGTGCAAGTCCAACTTCTAGTGGAGGCTGTTCCATAAAATAAGTAGAATAACTAAAAAACATTTTATCTGGCTTCACCTCTCTCACCTCATAAAAATGGGGAACCACTAGCAATTTTCCCAGGAGGGTCACCTCAGATAGGTCAGCATAGATTGGAGCAGGCAGTCCTGTAGATGCCTTGGCATCATTGCTATTAAACATTAGTGGCATACTACCATATTCTTCACTTTTGATTCATGAAATGTCTGAAAAGCCTCTCAAACTCTAAACAGCAGCGCTCATAACAGTCTGAGTTTGGGACCCCTGAACTAGAACATGCCATAAGAATGTTTTCAAAGCTGTATTTCTTAATTGTTCATTTGACTCTCAGGCTTAATCCATCTGCCAGCATGAACCCTGTTGCTTTCCCTAGTGGTTCTAATTTCTATGGCTCTTAGGACAAATACTTTGTCACTAGTTTCTTGCTTATTTTTGTTGACTGAAGCTTTCTGTACATCGTTATTTTAAAACACTATTCAGTGAAGGTGCTTCCTTAATTTGACTCCTTTGGTGCATGACATGAAGCCAAGATATGTGAGAACTGGTTGCAACAAGCACATTGAAGTACTGTAGCTAGAAGAACAACTGATTTTATTTAGACAACATAATAGTTACAGGTGATCCAGTTAAATAATAGACATTTCAACATTTTCATTCAACTGGGTCTAGAATCATAGATTGAATAATAGTCAAAGAAACAACAATGTTTATACCCCAGACATACAACAGAAGATAATTTTGTGGAAGTCCGAATATTCAAGGCTATGTTGAAATTTGAGGATACAGACCAGTAAACATATTAAACCATCTTCATGAGGTTTTGTATAGAGGTGGCTGTAATTATGGTGTCAAAATGGTTACTGACTTTTCAGTAACAATGCTAATCCTACCCCATGGTGCCACATGTTCAACTTTTTGTTTTCAATTTGCTTTTCATTTCATTGGCAGCCAATACAAATTTTGATTTCATTTTTAATAAGCTGCACATAAATGCACTGCTATTTCTTTCAGTTCTCCATACCACCAGAAATGTTTTAATAAACCAAAGAAATAGCTTATATAGCGTATAATCAACTGTAGTGTATTGTAGGTTTTGAAAAAAGCTGCTGAAAACTCTAACATGGTGGTTTGCACAAACAGACGTCTATAGATTTGAAATCGCTTTTCTCACAATATGCTGGATATAATGTAGGTAGTAAAGGATTTCAAATTGCAAAAAACAGATATTAGAGCCAAGTCTATTTTTACATTCTCCAAGGAGAAGAATGTACAGATAATAAAACTTAGAGCTTGATACAGTCACCATCATTAGCATTACACATGCCTTCTATATCTCAGCCGTATGGTCAAATAGAGAAGAATAAAAAAAATAATAGAATGGGTACTGAAGATAAAAATATCTGCATCATATTATCTTCTTGAAATTGCTGAAACATTCTTTTATGTGCTATTGGTTCTGGTTCCAGGCTATTTTGGAGAGCGGTTTGTCCTATATTAAAGTTTTTTCATAGAGCCCTACTGTGATTGCCTTCATGACTGGGAGTAAATTTGGCATCCTGAAGCAAGCTTTTAACAGTTACTTGCTTTCATGAATGCTGCTGTTCTTTTGAAAACAGTGTAAGCGCATTTTAAGGAATGCATTTAATTCAACTTTTTATACGTCTTTTGGCTGGGGCTGGATTTGGTTTTGCTTTGCTTTGTTTTTTGGCAGATTAATACATTATAAGTGCAAAGTATTTTAAGGTGGATCCATGTTTAATAGATTGTCAGGAAAGAAAATTATAATTAATAATTACCTCCATTCACATTTCCATGGTATTTGCCACATTACATGCTACCTGTTCAGTGAAGATGGAAAAGAAATACAGCATGTCTTTTCTGAATTTTCGTTTATGCCCCCTCTTACTTAAATTGATTCAGAATTGCTTGAAAAATATATAAAACTTCCACTTTTTCTTTTTTTTTCTTTTGCACTTTCAGCATCTTGTTTGCATATTCATTTTCTGCCTCTTGCTGTTTATCTATATGCCCAGTTCTGCTGTATGCAAAGTTTTATGGAACAGCCTGACAGCAGAGCTCTCAGTGAATGTTTTCTTGGTGCATATGGTCCGACATGGATGAGCAGCCACGGTGAGATTTTGGAGTCTATTAAACGAGCTCATTAAAAAGATCAATCTGTTTCTGTAATAACACTGGAAGCCATCAGTCACTGAACGAGAAAAGAGAATGACACCTGAGGAGACAACACATTTTTAATCATTTTGCATGGTATATTAGAAACAAAGTGAGAAATATAGATAGGTGTATGTGTGCATATATATCTGTACATGTATACATACAATTATGGTTTAGACTTCTGTAAAGGAAATGTGTATGCTTTCAAAAAGAACCCATACTTGCACATTTTTAAAAATCTGTATTCATTTATATATCTGTGTTTCAATAAATGTCATATGTTTTTATACTAAAGGGGACCCTGGCCCCTCTAGGTCTGATTAGGAGGGATTATTTTGGTTTTGAGTTTTTGAGCTAATACAGTTGAGGTAAACTATCTTCAGACTTAATTCCTTAGTTAGAAATGAATAGACTGGAGCAGTTGCTTTGGCACTGTGGACCACCGTTCAGCATTCTGTTTTATATAACCTCCAAAATCATGAATGACACTTATGTTCTACTCATCTTGTAGCGAGCAGCAGTTGCAGCTGACTTGTGAAAGGAATCTTTTTTTCTCCCATCCATTTCTTCACCCCTGTCTCAAAGCCCAGCCAGTAACTATTATCCTCTTTTCCCTTGCAATTTTATATTTTTGTTCTTTGTAATGGAAATTGTGCAAGTCTTGCTTTTGATCTTCAACTAGCATGTGCCCTGGAAACTGTAGGGCTTTGTAGTAGAAAACTTGTACTGTTTGCAGACATTCCTAGGTTCAGTCCCTGACATCTGAACAGGTAAAACTATTGAGAACTGCTCTCATCCATAATAGGCACACCTAAGCCTGGAAATGCAACTAATAATGAGTTATTCCCCTCCCCCAGAATATAATTAATAATAAGGTGCCTCCCTTATTTATTTATTTGTTTATTGGCCACCCAACTTCAAATGATTGTGGTTGGCATCACAAAATTAAAAACACAATAACATATGTAAAATAATACACAACATAGTGTAAAATACAATCGACATATGGGGAGAACAATGAAAAAAGAAAGCAAAATATCTTAATTCATATTTACATCCATCATCTCTCAGAAAGAAAACAAAGGCCTGGCTGGTGATCATTGTGCCACCAATAGAAGAAGGGAACTGCAGTTCAGGCTAGATGAATAAAGAATTAAATAAAATTTTAAATTAAGTTATATACTTAAATAAATGCAAGACTCCAGGATGAGATGAATTATATCCTAGGGTACCAAAGAAATTGGTTATTGGAAACAATAATTGCCATCTCTGAGGATTCTTGAAGAACTGGTGAGGTCCCAGAAGACTGGGGAAAAGCAAGGTTATCCTTACCTTAAAAAAGGGAAAGAGGAGGACCTGGACAACTTTGGACTTCTCAGCTTGATGTCTATACTGGCAACGTCTTTGAGCAAATTACTGAAGGAGGTATTTGTAAACTTAATTACAACACTTATCAAGAGACATCATTAGTTCATCTCAAGTCATGCCAGGCCATTCCTTTCTCCTTTTTAAAGAGTTACCAGCTGAATAAATTGGAGAAATGCCATGGGCACAATGAACCTTGACTTCAGCAAAGATTCTCACAACATCATGGTAAAATATGGGCTAGATGATACAGTAATTAAATTGATTCATAGTTGACTGAATGACCACACCCAGAGAGTACTCATAAAGGGTACTCTTAACATCAGACTGAGATTAGTATGAAGTGGAATATTACAGGGCTTTGTTCTGGGCCCTGTTGCTGTTCAACATTTTTATTAATGACCTGGATGAAGGGGTTGAGAGGATATATAGCAAATTTGTGGATGACACAAAACTAGGAGGAACAGCTAACATTTTAGATGGAAGAGAGAAGATTTAAAAAGATCAACGCAGGTTTGAACAGTGGGCCACCATCAGTAGGATGAAATTTAACAGGGAAAAATATAAAGTATGGGGGGCGGAAGGAGAGGAAGCCATAATTATTGTATAGGATGGGGAAGACCTGGATTGGCAGTAACAAATGGGAAAAGGGCCTAAACCAATTGTGATGCAGCTGCTAAAAAAGCAAATACTATTTTGGGATGTATTAATAGAAGCACAGAGTCCAGATCATGGAAAGCAATCTACTCTGATTTGGTTAGACCCCACTTGGAATACTGTGTTTGATTCTGGGCATCACAGTTTATGACATCAACAAACTGGACAAATTCAGAGGAGAGCTACCAAAATGGTGAGGAGGCTGGAAACTGAATCCTAGGAGGAACTGACTATTTTTGGGTTTTAGTTATCTAAAGGGTTGTCATATAAAGAGGGAACATGTCTTGTTATGTGTTCTCCGTTGCCCCAAAAAACAGGACTAGAATCAATAGTTGAAAATGCAGAGAAGTAAATTTCTCTAGATATTAGGAGAAATTTTATGTTGGTAAAAGCGGTCAACCAATTGACTGGATTGCCTCATGAAGTGATATGTTTCCTTCACTGGTGGTCTTCAAACAGAGGCTGGATAGCCATCTGTCTGAAATGCTTGAGCAAATCCTGCATCAAGCAGGATGTTGGAATATATGACCTTCCAACTTCATGATTCTGTTATTTTATTGAACCAGTTTAAATTGGAATAGGAATGCATAGCCCAAAACATTCACATAAAAGTTAAGATTCAGATATGTTTCCCCACTTGTAACCTCTTGTCAAAAATACCTGCATTGCAGCTTTGTAAACCAATGCCAATTTTTCAGTCAGTTGCTTTACCGGTCCAAATCAGTCCAATAAAATACACAATTTTAACCTTTGGTATCTTCTGTCATAAAACTGTAAGATTTTACTTTCTTTCTAAGGAGATAAGTGTTCTTTCTTTTAACATTTCTATTATGGTTGATAGGCTTATCAAGGAAGAAAGGTTCATCATTTTTTGTATAATAGCAATCTCATGCAATAAGTTGAAAAAAAGTACAGAAAGTTGTCAATTTAGCCTAGCTGCATATGTGTTTGCAGTAGGTTCTCAGCATTTTGTTTGAAAGGATCTAATTTGAAAAACCAGCATGATCGTCTAAAAAGTACAGTTTTGTAAACATGTTATGACACTTTTCTTTCAACTCTGTACTTTTGCTTTGTCTGTCCATCCATATTGAGGAAACTGTATTCATTTCAACCTCTGCTTTAATTGCTACTATACAAGCATAGATATTTAAGAGTGGTCTTTGAGCATGGAGCTTCTAAAATGCATCTGTAAAATATTTGAAATGTAAACGCATGAATATGCAAAGTTCTGGTTCTTATGATGTACATTATAGATATAGAAATAAACAAACTTTTCCTGATTTGCCAAGTTTTTATATTAAAAATGGTTATATTTGTGATTTTGACTGGCTTTTACTGGATAATGAAATATGTGATATGACCAGAAACTCTACCCTGTTTCTCTGACATGGGTAAGGGGCTTGGCCCTGACATCCTGAAGAGAGCATGTAGTGTATTGAGTACCCCTCTGGCCATGTAGCTACACCCTCTCCCTAAAGCAGAACACAGAGGGGAATGGTGCTGGGAGCATTATCTAGCCAAGCCTACATACATCTGCCTTCCCCTCCATCTCCAACTATGCATGTTTGGATAATGTCTTTAATTGGTGACTGAATTCAAAGAATATATGATTAATGTTTTAAACGTGTACACTGTATTTCTAATTTAAAACTTTTATTTGAAATAATATTGTACTTCTTTATTCTTGTTCTCTTTTTTGTTAAACAAGTCCCCTCTCTGATTAACTGGGGGTAAACTTCTATGTACCAACTCCAAAGGTGCATGAATAGTCTAGTAAGGAAGACCAGTCTGTAACAACAGTGACCCAGTAGATAATAGCAGAAGTTCCAATTTGAGTAGGTGATCCCTCTGGAACCACTTCTACCCTTTAAATACAAGACCTCTGTGTGTGCCAAGTCAGTTAGGTAGCAGACTTCCACACCCACATCTTCCGCTTTGGCTGTTGTTAATGCATACTCTTTCTCCTTCCATTTATATGCTTGTAATGGTATTTGCTTATGCATACTTAGAACAATATTTCACAATTTGGGGGTTGGTGTTTGTCACATTAGGCCAGATCCATGTCAGGGAAGCATATGTTATGCTGCCAGCAGTTCAGGATGTGGTGGTATCCATGAGACTTGGGTGATGGGACTTCAGGTTTGTAGCCTAGCATCACCCCAGATTGCAGAGTAAAGCATATAATCAGTACATGTACCTGCTGCTTCTGAAGGTACACAATAGGCAGACTGGGTCTATTTAACTAATAAGTAGACCGTCCAAGAATGTATCATGGTGCTGTACTGCATTAATTACCTGTAAAGATAACCAGTAAAGTTAAGGCATATCTGCTCATCTTGATGGACAATGACCTAGTGGGTCCTCCTTTCTACTGTGTGCTTCTGTCATGCTTCCACTTACGTCATGTTGTCAGCCTTACGAGGTGGGCCAGGTCAGGAAACAGACACAAGAAATATTACAACTCTATTGAAAAGGCTGTAATAACAGAATCTTGAAAGCCCAATTGCATTTCCCTCCTCTTCATATACCAGAGAGAATCAAGGCAGGGCAATTATAAGTTTCTTTCTTGCTTTCTTATTTTCCCACATTTTCTTTTCTTTGTTTCACAAAATGCAGAGCCAACCCCAGCCAAATAACCAAGCTGTCCGTCATTTTATCTTAGCATATTAAAGAGTGTATAGACCAGGCCAGTATCACAAATTAGCTATCCTTTGTGACTTCTGTTAAACAATTCACTCCAACAGAGATTAATGTAACAATTACAATGAATTTTGTCTCATTCCTTTTTGGGCAATTATTGCAGTATTAGCAAGAAGTAAAGTCAAAAGGTACATTATACTGAGCAACAGAAGGGAAAAAAAAATAAGACATTTGGGTAAATTTACAAATATAGGAAGAGAAGACTGCTACCACTATGAGTTGTGTCTGTTACAAAAACCATTCATTCATTTATTCATATGTACAATTTATATTCGCCTTTCTTCCCACAGGGCACTCAACCTGGAATGAACACTTATTTCAGTTGAATCTGAATGAATGAAATGAATACTTATTTCAGTTGAAGCTACTGCAGTTTTCCCCAAACTGACATCCTCCAGATATGTTGGGACAGCAGCTCCCTATTACTTGGGGGGATTAGGGAAGGCAAAGTTATAAGAGTTGTGCAGCACTTCCTGGTGGCTTGGAAAAACTCTCAACCAAACGTATCTGTACTTTTCCTTTTTTAGAACCAAAGAAAATGGCTTTGACAGAGAGCCTTTGCACTCAGAGCATCCAAGCAAGCGGCCGTGCACTATTAGCCCAGGCCAGCGGTACAGTCCAAATAACAGCTTGTCTTACCAGCCCAATGGTCTGCCTCACCCCACTCCGCCTCCACCTCAGCATTACCGTTTGGATGATATGGCCATTGCCCACCACTACAGGGACTCCTACAGACACCCCAACCACAGGGACCTCAGGGACAGAAACAGACCTATGGGTAAGCAGATCTCTCCCTTAACTCTGGATTGGGTCGCAGTGCATATCACGCTTCAGTTGTTATTTCAATCCCAGTCCTGGCCTGAAGACACCCACCCAGGAATTGCATTGCTTCTTCTTTTAACGCAGTCAAGTGTGGGACCTACATGACAGTACAAGTTTTCCCTGTATCAGTCAGTATGCTAGTTATTGAGTGAGTAATGAAGCTTTAGCCTGTGAGTTCTCACTATATTAGATCAGAATGGTGTTAGCCAGGAGCAGGCCCTTTCTACCATACTCCCTAGGCCAGTGTTTCTCAACCTTAGCATCTTTAAGATGTGTGGACTTCAACTTCCAGAATTCCCCAGCCAGGATGCTGGCTAGGGAATTCTGGGAATTGGTCCACATATCTTAACGTTGCTAAGGCTGAGAAACACTGGACTAAGCAATGGAATACTTTGCTTATAGAAGTAAAGGAGTTTTTCTCTTCTTTTGGTCAGGTTTTTTCCCCCATTGTTTTGTAATGACTCTGTCATGGATCAGAAGAAAGCTATGTTCTTATCAATGAATTATTTTGGTTTGTCTTCATGGGATGTATTTCATTATACATGTAAGCTACTTTGAGCAGGTATAGAAAAAACAAACTCAAATCTATTAACCAAAATAATTCTTCCTATCCTCACTCTTCCCTATTTCTTTTTTAATTTACATTAGATCAGGAGGTATGCCACCTTGCGTTTATGTTTAACAACATTCCTCTACTCTGGCTGTTGATGTGGCAGTCGGGGAATTAGCAGAGGATCCTTGACTTTTTTTTCTACTTCTCTAAAAATCTTATTGCTGATTGTAAGCATCTTTATACCTAGGCCCTATAATCTTCTTTCCTATCTTTAATTCTGTCGATTTACTTGATCCCTTAGATATTCCATGAAAATACTGTGTAATGGCCCTAACCAAACAATACCATGAATGCATATAATTTATAGGCATGGGCAGAAGATGAAGCTATTATTAGATTACTTCTTCATGTTATTAATATTTAACACTTTACACTATTTCTGGCAGGGTTGCATGGGACACGTCAAGAAGAAATGATTGATCATAGGCTAACAGATAGAGAATGGGCCGAAGAATGGAAACACCTTGACCATGTAAGGAATGTGACATATATTTTATATTTCTGTTTAGTAGCATATATATCACAACTTTTAAAATTAGTGAAAAATGCTTATTATCTTTGTCCATAGATTATGAAAATTTACAGCCTGACCTATACATGCTTGTAGATTAGGATGTTCCTTATCTCTATTATCTTATCACAGAGGCAAGCAAAAACTATGAGGTTAGGAAACTGGATTCATCATTATGTGCAAACTGACATATATAGATAATGGCTATAAGTATGAAAGTACCAATTCAAATGTGTTCTGTTTTGAACTCATTGAAGTGAATTCCTATGATGCTTGCCATTCTCACATGAGTTATCACTGAAATTTTGCAAGATTTGGAAAGTTCATGATTACACACACACAATTATTATTATTATTATTATTATTATTATTTACATTATTTGGAATGAGCTGTGCTTGGAGATCAGATGAATGCTATAGTTCCATGCATGTTGCATTGCCAGTTCCTGGAGCATTGATTAGGATGTCCAACTGGATCTGAAATAACTGGATTCAAATTGTCCCTTATCCATGAAACTATTACCCTG